CTTTTATAATAATTTTAATAACCTTTTATTTATTTATTTATTTTTTATAAATTAAACAAAAAGAGTTGACTACCAACTACAAATCACATTTGCCTACATACCCTTATCAATAAAGCAATATTTTATATTTTTCTTTATTAATTTATATATTTCTATTTATGTCTCTCATCTCATATCTTCTCTTTGAACAGTTGCCAACATTTGGATACACGAGGCTACACAGACCTTTGCTCGGCCCTGTGATGTATTTCGGGATAATGAAGTTTCCATGGGCTATGATATAATTAAATAAACTTGTTGATTTACCACTATTTCGCTTCATAAATTTCTCATTCGATTTGCTTTATTAGTTGTAAAGAAATGAAAAAATGTTATTCTCAGCTTCTCAGCGCTGCGAGTTTGCTTTGCAATGGTTTGTGGTTCGAGTGTAATTGTAATATAATACCAGAGTGTGTGTGCTCTGAAATAGTCTTTTGTGGCCAACAGAATTACAATCGTAGTAACTTGCTCGCCTGTAAAGCAAACCTGCTTAACAATGCACGAAAATTACTCAACATAACAAAATATTTTTACATATTTGAGATCAACTCAAATGTCTTCGAAAAATCAACAATGAACGACTGTTGTTTATAGGGTTAAGACTCACTTTTGAGCACTCACTTTGCTGCGAAGCATACTCAAAACAAACCGTGAGTCGAAGACTTGATTGAGTTGAGCTCAGTTTTGCCGGCTATTTGCATAAACAAGTTCACGGGCAAAGTTTTAGCGGCTAATTTGCATATTAGCGACACAGAGTGGAATCACAATGGGACGAGTCTCTAGTGAGCGGCTTAGTGAAAGTAATTAGCAAAGAGAGAAGTTGTGACAAACGCTGAATGCTATACGAACGGCTGAGATGATCTCTCAGATCGGCTGAAAGACAATTAGCGAACAATTAGAGCCTCTACAATAGTTGAGGAACTTTAGGTTTATTGAACTCGTGTTATTTTTTTATTTATTTATTACCTAACCACTTGGCCCAATCAAGCCTGACGGCTGAGCCTCGCGGGCAGTTCTTTGACTTGGCCTGGCCAAGAAGCACGTCGAAAGCTTCAGCTCCGCGCAAGCAATGAGAATGCTTCGAGCTTTTGTTTGACTAACGATCTGCCAAGACTGTTTGTTGTTCTCAAAGCAGATCGAGCCCGAACAGTTCTAAACGACGCGCCGAAGCAGAGACAGCACGAGCTCTAAGCCTCAACATACTCTAATTTGTAATTAAGAGAGCCAATTGCAATGAAGATGTTGCCGGGAATTTATTTACTTGTATTGGCTGTACTGCAAATCCCTGCATCCAAGGCGGAGTTCTTCAGCTCAACTAGTGGCCTGGGGCAGCTGCTGCGCACGGAGGTCATCGTGTTGAAAGAGCTGCAGACATATGTGAATGAAATAAGGGAACATGCCGATTTGCTTCAAAGGTAAGTTCACGCCCATCGCTATCAAAGAGAGGCTGGAAGATTTGATTGGTTTTTAAGTGGGCGCTTTAAAAAGTCAGCCAAACCAGTTAATGGCTTAAGTAGTGGGCCTTTATAGTTCCCTCGCCAATCTGGTTCGACTCGGACATCTCAGCTGGCGTCTTTCTTAAGTACAACTAACACTACACCTAAGCAGCAGCTAATCAATATTTAGCATTCAGCTAGTATAAGTAATTAATAATCAATAAGCAAATGCTGCATGCCCACATCCGATGACAGAGCCCACGCAAATTGTTTCTTTGGTATTTATATGCTTGATCATCCAAAGCAACTGTTGGGCCTGTTTTACACTCGGGGAGAGTTTCGAGGCTGAGATTTGCTTATAAATTTTTGCTCATCATGCGCCTCTGGCAGTCTAATTTTTTTTGTTACCTTTTTTTTAAATTTAATTACATTTCATTCCCGTATTGCCACCTAACCGGTTCACATTAAGCCACCCGAATCGTAAGTCTGGCCTAAGGGAACGCTACAAGTACGCAAATACAAACCGAATGTGCAAAAGCAAATTAATTTCATTTTATATTTATTAGTATTCACTTGATTTAATTTTGTCGTCGGCCGGCAATTGTTAATATTTTTAGAGAGCTGTTCAGTTTATGACCTGCTAATCTCTCTAGTCGTTTACCTAATACACACTTAGTTGACGGATTCGGCATTGTTTGATCTTTGCATTTTTATGATCCAATGACATCGATGGTTACTTCAGCGAATCGCAGTTGCTGCTTTAGTGTCAACGACTTGCTCGCCTTTTGTATGTGTATCAAATGATTATCTTTAGAATTCAATTAAATTTATACGCTTAGTAGCTACATTTGCAAACCGGCTCGTCACCAGTCTACCTATAAGGCACAAATTAGTATTTCAATGGCATCGTTACGAAATATATAATTAAACTAAAAACAAAAGTAACATATATAAACATATAAATACATATAAATCAAACACTATAATATCCCATAGATAATTCAAACAGGATTTTTATCCTAAGTGCAATGCGGAACAAGTTTTCGAACCCCTTACTTTACGAGCTAGCTCCGCAGTTTGTCATCGAGCTCATAAAAAATAGAGAAATTTGCAGGAAAGCGAATAAATTTCAGTTATTTATGGCTCTGACTTGCTAAGAACAAACAAGTGCTACTACCTAATCAATAGCCCGATAAAATCGGATACTATCTAGCTGACAGACTCGGCGACATTGCCGTTGAACGTTATGGCGACATTTAATCTCCGATAAATAAAGAGACACATTAAAAGAACGGCGTGTGTCTCTGAGACAAGCGTAAAAACAAATTAATTATTTATTTAAAATGTGAGTGCCGCTTATATAAACATGGCTCTAAAATATTTGAAAAATACATATAGGCAGCACTTTTTAATAGAAAGCTAATTAGAGTAAAAATTGGGGAAATTAAATTTGAAAATCGTATGTAAATTGCGTGAGAGTCTGAGCAAACTGAATTCGAATTCTCACACAAATCGTAATCAAAGCATGAGAATAAGAAAGTAAGCTCGTGAGAATCGCAAGGAAGGGCAGCACAATGGAAAGTTGCTGATTGAAACACACACACACACACACAACTCTGTTTCTCACAGCAACTGTTAATAGAGCATTATGCAGTCATTTATGCCCAACTAAATTGTTTGATTTTTGTCTCTTAAAAGTTTTGATCGATTGTGCTGTGACAGTGTACTAAAGTGCTTATAAATGGRATGTCTCCAGGCATAAATAAATAAGTTAAATATGCAAATGGCGCTTATGCAAATGAAGAAAAAATTATGAAACAATTTAAAATCTGATTAATGCTTAACACGCCAACGAGAGTTTCATGAATTTATTTCCCGCAGAGAAATCAGTGAGATTAGAGCGGAGCATCTGACCGCAGCGAAGAGCATCGAGAGCTATCTCAACAATCCGGTGAATGCGTTCCGCTTGATAAAGCGCCTGCACACCGACTGGGAGACCCTGGAGGGCACCGTGGAGAGCGAACAGAGTCGCACAAGTGGGTATCAGAACGTGGTGAAGGGGAGGGGGACATCACTCACATGTTATCATTATCGATTTGATTAAACTGTTTTCTCTCTATCCCCGTTTTGCCCTGCCTCGGCACTCCTGCTGCTTCGGCTTGTGCTATAGATTTCCTCGAGGCCATGGCGGGCCACCGACAGAACTTGAGCTTCCCCACGATGGAGGACTTTGTGGGCACGACGCTGGCGATGACGCGACTGCAGCAGACCTACAATCTGGACGTGGCCGAGCTGGCGAGCGGCATGCTGAATGGTGTCAAGTACGGGTGAGTGATGGCGGCCCTGGGCGTGGCAAGTGGCAATCACAAATCACACGCGACAGCTCGTTACAGATCGGCCATGTCGTGGCAGGACTGCTTCGTGCTGGGCCAGCATCTCTACTCGATGAACGACTTCAACAACACGGTGCCCTGGCTGGAGCAGTCGATGCGGCTGCTGGCTCAGCAGAGCTACAGCGATGAGCCCGTCTCATTGGATTTCATGGAAGCAGTCATAGGCTACCACGAATCGCTGGGCGACTACCAGAATGCACTCAACCTGATTAATCACGTGCTGGACGTGGAGCCGGAGCAGCGGCTCCATCTGCTGGAGAAGCGCGCGCACCTGGAGCAGCTCATCTCCGACGGCGTCAAGCGCGGCCTCATGCACGAGGTGGCGCGCAGTCCGGAGGACTACCACGCCACGCAGGACTACCTCATCTATCAGCAGGTCTGCCGCGAGGAGCTAATGCCAACCGCAGCAGCGCAACGTGAGCTGCGCTGTCGCTACTTCAGCGGCCATGGGCGGAGCTTAAACTACCTGGCGTACAAGCTGGAGGAGCTGCATCGGGATCCCTATATCATACAGCTGCATGAAGTCATTGGCGCCCACGAATCTGTGCAGCTGCAGCACTTGGCTCGGCCTGTGCTGCAGCGCTCCGAAGTCTACAGCCCGACCAACGGCAGCACCGCAGCGACCTTCCGCACCAGCCAGGGCACTGTCTTTGAGTATGACGAGCATCCAATCATTGAGAAGCTGAGCCAGCACATGACTCTGATATCCGGCTTGGACATGGGCTTCGCGGAGCCACTGCAAATAGCCAACTACGGCATCGGCGGCCACTACGAGCCGCACATGGACTCCTTCCCAGAGTCCTTTGACTACAGCTTGCAGAGGCTTAAGACCAATCGCATAGCTACGGGCATCTTCTATGTAAGTGTGCACAGATGAAATTGTCCTCAAGCTGTTCAAGTTATTCTCTCTCAATTCGTTGCCGTGTCCAGCTATCGAATGTGGAGGCAGGCGGCGCCACAGCGTTTCCCTTTCTGCCGCTGCTCGTCAAGCCCGAGCAGGGCAGCCTGCTCTTCTGGTACAACTTGCATCGCTCCGGGGATGCCGACTATCGCACCAAGCACGCTGGCTGCCCGGTGCTGCAGGGCAGCAAGTGGAGTGAGTAGAGCAATAAACATGTGCTCGCTTTTTCCCTTTAACATAATCACGAATACCCTCTGTGCTTCCAGTTGCCAATGTGTGGATACGTTTGAGCCACCAGGACCATGTGAGACCCTGTCAGCTGCAGCGTGATCACGAGGTCTCCTTGCAGTATAAGGACTAAGCAATCCTTCTCATCTCAACTCAATCATATTTGCTTGCCATTTGTGATAATATATAAATAACGAATTTAGTCAATTATTATTTGTATTTAGTATTTATTATTTGAATGAATCCAAGCCACATCTTATGCCAAGGCAGCAGCACTTTACTCAGTCGATACGAGCGTGCAGGGACGACGGAACTCCTGCTGAGCAGAATGTATCCAAATGTTGCCGACTGTAAAATATTCAATATAATCCATGAAATTTCAAGTTTCAAGTATCTTCAATTAGCTTAAACTTACTGCGCTTGCTGCCCTCCAGAACGGGACAGCCTGCGTGTAGGACACGGGAGTCGGGTGCCAGGGATCTGTGTACGTTGGGCCAAATAACCAAGGAGCCTTTCACGGGCCTCAGAAATACATTGAGAAAGGGAAACACCGTATAGCCGCCTTGGAGCACATCTGAAAGCTGAAGTTGGGCCGAGCTTAGCTATGGACTACGGGCTTTGGATTACGGGTGTAAACAGTCCAAGACTTACATAGAACATATTCGTGGTGATGCGATTGCCTCTCGCTATGTAATCTTCGCGCAGCTTGGATATGTAATCGAAATGCGGGAAGTATTGACCCCCAATGCCATAGTTGGCCACCTGCATCTCCTCGACATTTGTCATATCTAGGCCAGAAATAGCACCAAGCAAATTGCCGATGGTTCTCATGATGGGGCTGGTGTAATTGAGCCAAACCTGTTGACTAACGCGAGTCTCTGTTATCACCTCCCCGACCACCTTGGAGCGAAAACTTTCCAGTTGATTGGCCAAATCCAGGACGGTTTCTATTTGAGCATCGGTCAGCACGTCGTAGTAGATATGTATGTCGGGATTCAGATGCGCCTGCTCCACCTTCAACGGCGAGAGCCTGAATCGCGGATGACGTTCAAAGTCCAAATAGCAGCTCAATGAGCCGGGCTCTGGCAGCCGCTTGCCCTGGCACAGACGCGAGAAGTTAGCATACCAGTACGCCTCGCCCAGCTCCTTGGGACACTTCGGCTCAGTGTCCTCCACGTCATCGAGTAGAAAGCGCACTGGATGGGCCGTGTCTGGTGAAAGCGAAGAAAGCAGCTCCCTCAATGTCTCGACTGCCTTTTGCTTTTCGCCCAGCTCCATGTAAGTCATGCCCAAATATTCGTAGACCTGTGCGCGCATTCCCTGTGCATTCTCGTCCTCGATTTGATCGACCAATTTGGCAGCCAGCAGCAGCCACTCGAGGGCGCTCCGGTAGTTGGCCTGCTCATAGAGCTGCACGCCAATCTCGAGGCAATCATTCCAGAACAACGAGCTGTTGGCCATGTCGCTTGCCGTGAGATTGTAGACGCTCTGCAGTCGCTGCAAGCCCCTGACGGCGCCCTTAAGATCCTCTTGATTTGGTAGGCCTTGCGCCTCACCTGTTTCATTCACTAATTTGGCATATTCTGCATGTAAAGGATATTAAATGAATGTGAATATATATGGGAAGATTGCATTTGAGTCTATAGACACCTTCTCGGAGCTGCTTCTGGCTTGCAGCCAGCGAGTCGTGTAGTACTGGCCAATCGACGACCAGGCGCTTGATCAGCCTGAAAGCCTGCAGCGGCTGTTCCAGGTACTCCGCATCCTGCAACAACTCTTGCCTGATGGCTGCATGCTCCAGCTTCACTCGATCCACGAAGCTGGCAATTAATCAATCGATGAGTTGCTTTCGCCTCTTTATGCAGCACCTTTCCTACCTGCGCATCACGTTAAGCTGCTCTTGGCGCTCCGTCAAATACAGATGCGTGGCAGTGACGAGATCCAACTCGACTTCCCCCAACATCTGCATCTTGTCAACGGAAGAGTAATATTCGCCATTCACTGGACTCCAGGCAACACCCAACAGCAGCAGCCACACGAAAACTAAACTCAAGTGCTCCAACATTGTGTGAGACACGATCGAGTCAACGGACTGGGAGCTAATGTGGGCTGGCCTGATTGTGAGCTAATGAGCAGCTCCAAAAAATTGCCAAGCATCTGTTGAATATTTATTTTTCCACTACTACAAATATCTTTAATGATATTTCTTCACAAAGAGAACAACTGTTTTATCTAGCTAAGCAAACAGTGTTGTTTATTTCCAACTATTCAAACCTCTTTTATTTGAACAGCATGCACGGAATACTTTCATATGCGTTAACTCCGACGTACGATGCCGTGCAGCTGCTTTCGGGCTGTGCGGAATGCAATAAATCAGATCCATCATCCTGTTAACCGCACGCTGTTGCGGGATGTTGCCATGGCCAACAGCAGCCGCATGGCTCAACGAGCGGTGGCAGTCGCGAAAATTCAATTTACCACAAGCGCTGTAAAGTATGCAACATGCAACGTGCAACATGTAGCGTGCTGCATGCGTGTTTTGCCAAGCCTGCGTGCATTTGTGCACGCACACAACAATACAAACACACACACATGCACACACGCACATGCATAAATCAGGTATGTTGGCCAAATACGAGCATTTACGCTGCTTAACGAGGTTTAATACAGCTGATAGCGCATCGCTCTGTCAGAGAATGTTCGCCTCAAGCCAATTCGTAGAGCAGCCTGCTCATACGAAAGTTTACACAAAATAAAATTGCGTTACTCAATCTGAAATCAATTCCCAAACAATTAAAAATTAAAAGTCTTACAAGTTTAGCTGATTTTATTCTTTGGCTCATCTTGATTGATAGCGAATGGCAAATCGGCTGGATTTTAATAACTCTAATAGAGAATACCTCAAGACTCAAAAATGTAAAAATTAATAGTTTAACAAAGTCTGCATATTTTATAAATTTACTCATATTAATCCATTATAAAAAAATGTATAGTAAAAATGATTTTAAAAAAGCACAGTATTTATTTGTATTGAAAATTTTAATAAATTCATTAGATATGCAGTAGAATCCGGTTATAGCGTCGCTACGTTCAAGTGACCGTCGCTGTATCCGAAAGACGCTATTAGCATATAAGTTCATTCCTATAAAATTGTCTAGAGAGTAGAATTTTTGTCGCAATCGAACGTACGCTGTAAGCGAAGTCATAGCACCTGTATTTCTTTGAGTAATGGAAGGTAAAGTGCGGCATCACCAAGTCGTTATACACCAGCTTTGCTACTAGAACACGCATTGCTTGCTGGAATTACCAACTGCTAGCCACAGAATGTCTAAAAGATATTTATGGGGTCTACAACGCTTCCCTTTCGACCCGTTACCTACAATTTTATAAAATATTTATACGCTGTATTCAAATTCCACTAGATACATGGTAAAAGAAACTAGCTTAAATGCTATGAGCCACTTACAAACAGTCTTTTAACTGCAATGACGCCATAACAAGGCAATACTTATCCCAGACGAGGCAATACGTATACCTACCTGAATTAAAATCATTCAACTATAATGAAATAGAATATTTAAGAAATCAAAGCCCAAATTAAACGTGTCTATGCTGTCTTACAGTTCCATTCAATAGTTAACGCTCGAAGGAATCTCCTTGAGTTACAACAGAATGGAAAAAATCTATAAAATTCATATTAAATTCAGTTGCTCAAAAAGCCATTTGCTAATGAATTCGTACGCCTGTTAAAATATTAAAAAGTACAATTGCCTTCAAGTGTTCATATATGTATTGCATTGTATTGTATTTTCACAATTCATGTTAAAGCTTGTGAAATGTGCCAGGTTTTGCCAGTCCAACCGCAATTTGGAGTATGTAGTCATTTTTTTATTGAATTAAAAAATATAATATGAAATACCTAGTGCCATTCTCAAAAAAGTTAAAATCAAATAAATAAAATTTTTCAGTAGAGTTTCCCACTTCTTCGCACATAAGAAAAGCAAATGAGTTTCATTTTCGTATTCGCATAGATCGCATCATTTCATTTTGTTTGTATTTCTAGCATTCATTCTTTATATTTTGTACAAAAATGAGTAAATTCCATAATAGCATGCCTAAAATAACACTAATGCCAAGTAATGGTATGTAGTTGAAAGAAATGGGTGTCGTCATCGTTCAGCCGGCGTACCAGATGTTGGATGTCGTAGTTGAGTATTTACAATAGGAATAGAGTTTATGTTGCCCGGCTGGCGAGTCCTTAGAGATATGTTAGAGCGCAAAGTAAGTAGAAGTACGAGTAAGGGCGGCTGGGAAATGAGAGTCCAGCAATAGCAACAGCTTCAGTTTTTCTTTTCACTAGATGGCAAAATCACCATGATCCGGGGCCAGGTCACAGGGTCGCCGGAACTCTTGGCCACGCTCATGTATCCACTTGTTGGACACTGCAAAAAAGTAGAGAGTTTAGCCGGACAAGAGATACAATGCTAGACAGAGGCTCAACCTACCCCATTTGCTGCCCGTGAGCACGGGACACGCTGCATGTCGCGTTCGCACATCGCCTTCGCCGGAGCGATGCAGATTCATCCAGAATGCAGCCGTGCCCTGGAAATAAAGTGAAAGTCATTTAATCAGGACTTAATTGGATTGGAGCTCGTAGAGCTACCTTTTTGGGCTTCAGAACCGCATGCAACGAGGTGAAGACTGTGGCACCGCCCTGCTCCACGTCGCTCATCTGCAAGGCAAGGCGAAATACATAAAATAAAGTTCAGTTTAAACATATTAAGTTCGTAACTCACGTAGAACAACACGGTGGCAATGCGATTGCCCAGATTGAGACCCTCGAAGGCGCGTATCTCCTCGCGCTATAAAAGAGAAAAGAGTAAACGCAACATTAAAGTCAGGTGTGCTCCAGGTGAGCTTGATTTACTTCAACTTACTCGGGCGAAATCAAAGTGTGGCTCGTAATGGCCGCCAATGCCGTAGTTAACCACCTGCAGCTCCTCGGCCGAGTCCATGTCGAGGCCAGTCATGTCGGCGGTGCGCTGCACCACAGTGCCAATCACTCGGTGCTCGGCGGTCTTAAGCCAGGCGGATTTACTGATGCGGTAGTTGGCCGTTTCCAGGGCGCCAGTCACTGCGTTTTGGACGGTGGCACGACGGAAGCGGGGACGCGCCATGCGCTTGAGTACCTCAATCTCGCTGTCGAACATGGCGTCGTGATAAATTACAATGTATGGATCCAGGAAGGCCTCCTCCAGCTTAAGCGGCGCTAGCCTCAGGAACGGCACATTGTTGCTGACATAACGACAGCGCAGCGGACGCAGGACAGAGGGCGAGAGCTTCAGCTCGCCACGGCACAACATTTCGTAGGCCTTGCGCTCGGTCATGTCGAAGACGCCAGGATCGCTCTTAACCACGGGCTGGACAACAAAGAGAGGATAGTTGAAAGCACTAACTAACAAAGTCTTGTAGGGCAAATACCAGATCGGAAACGGGCGTGGCATCGGAGCCATCGTCCCCTTTCACTTTAAGCTTCTCCTTCAGCTGGGCAATTTCCTTCTCGTAGAACTTCTTGTTGCCATTGGCCCGCTCGTGGTCGGGCAGCAGTTGCAGCAGCTCGTTCGTCATGGTCAGTGCGCTCTCCACATTGCCTGCACGCCCAAATTCCAATTGCAAAGCCAATTCCAGGTTACATTGTCGAGTGCCGGATGGGAGAGTCGAAAGGTGAGAGAGTAGAGCAGACAAGACTGAATTAATTACTATGCCTAAAAGCAGGCAACAGTTTTTCGTTGCTGGCGACCTTGACTTCTAATTGCTCGCATTCAATCAAAAGTTCTCAACAATGGGCGTACAGTGAGCACTCGTGAATAAGCGACACTTCAACATGCCAACTGCATTTGGTTTTTTTTTTTTTTTTTTTTTTTTTTTTTTTTTTTTTGTATATTTATTTTAAGCGCTGAATCTGTACAATGCAAGTTTAGTACCTTAACAACACAATTAAATTATTTATATAGAACCTAACCTTCTGATGTATTCAGGAGGACTTACAAATATATATTTACAAGTATCGCTAAACTAAACTTATCTAATATTTTTGGCAAAACCCAAGCGTTTTAATCGCATTTCGTATCACTATTTAGTGCGACGCCCGAAGGCTTGAGCTCCCATCGCTGCCTGACAAATGTTAAACGCATCATACATTATTCATAGGCGCCACACAGCCCCAGCTCAGCCCACAACGTGTGGAAAAATGGCCAGCAAATAAGTTCAAGTTTCTTATATGCAATGGCCGAAAAACAACTAAAGCAGAAAAACTTACTAGAGACCTTCAGGCCCTGACTTTCTTGTAAAACTTTTAGCATGGTCATCGAAATTATTCACATTTATTTATGGCCCAGCCTTGCCTCGGCAGTCGCTCAGCGGCGAGTCCTTAATTAGTTTGCCAGACACTTTAAGCGGAGCACTTACTTTCAATGAAATTTCGGTCGCCTCCAATCCCGACCTGGCTGAGAGCTTCAATTTGCATTTTGCTTGCCAATGCCAGCCATGCTGACACGGGTGCCCTCGGCTGATCGACGGCAACGGGATTTCTGTGTCAGCTGTAGGTGTGCGACAGCGGAGGCGGCGACTGAACCGGGGGCGTGGCATGGCATTGCAACAGCAATTGTTTTTCTTTTTTTTTTTTTTTTTTTTTTTTTTTTTTCATTTTTTCTGCAGTATGGCAGCAATTCCGTTTAGCGCAGCACGCCCACAAATACTGCGAAGTCAGTTTTTTACGCAGCGCACAAACAACGGAGGAAAGAAACAAAGAACAGAAAAAACGGAAACCCAAGGCTGTGGCATACTCTGTTGAAAGGATGTCGATGCAGTTAGGAGCGTGTTGATATTTTTTGTCTTAATATTCAATTTGCTTGTAGAATTTTATAAATTCTGAATATTCACATTCTGTATATTTGTTTATATTATTTTGAACGATTAACAAAAGCTCCAAGCTGAGCTCAAAATAATGAATTTCATTTAAGTAAAACACGTATTTATAATTCAAATTATTAAAAATA